AGAATTGAACAGCTCTTAAGATCTAGTAAAAACTTAAGATATTTTATTGAGGCCAAAATCACTATTCAGAGAATAGAAAACGCAGTATGCAAAAACAATGTGACTTCAAAAGGCAGAGCTAAATGGTAAAGTGTTATTTTGTGATTTCCTTTTTTCTCTATTGATTTTTATAAGTATTGCTATAGTGTGTTTTTTATATCTGATTGTAAAGTATATCTCGTTTTTGTATCAGATTGTAAATTACATTTCTCCTCTCACCCCTACCATCCCTTATCTAAGAAAAAAAGTTTAGCAAAGGTAACTGACATCAGCCAAGTCCAACATTATATATAATGTTCCACACCCATAGTACTACATTTTTGCAAAGAAGGGATAGAGGTACATTCTCACAAATCTTCTTTGGATTTAAGCTTGTTCATCATAATTTCAGTGTTCGGTTTCAGTTATTTTGTTGTTGTTCTTTACATTTCCATAATTATTGTGAATAATGAATAAATGATGAATTAATGAAGCATTCATTAAGCACTGAGGATACAAATAGGAAAGTAAAACAATCCTTCCTGTCATGGAATTTACACTCAGTAATGGGGAAAAAAATCAACTGTATGTCAGAAAGGTCCCATGGTCCTTAGGATGTAGCAGCAAAGCAAACTGAATGTCTCTTTGTTAATGTCATTTCCACTGATAAAATCCTATCAGTTTCTGATGTTGAACTATTTGATGGTCTCAGGGACTTTGGTGGTAAGAACTAACTATAGCACCTGTAGGAATAGTTGGTAGGTTATATCTCTGTAGGATTTTCTTCCCAGAATGATGGCTGAGGGCACTGGACTGGAAGCATTGCTATTCCCAAGGCTCTTGGGTACAGGGTTCTAGGCTCTCCATCAGGGTTTGTGGGAGTAGTGTGGTCAGAGTAATGGTTGTAGTGTTGTGACTTGCATGACATGTGTTAACTCCTGTCTCTCCCTGTTACCTCCTGTCTCTCCCTCGGGGTGTCTTGCTGCTTTACCTAGTCTGGCTTGCCTGTCCTGTGAGTGGAAGTTGGTGAAGATGGTTCACCCCCTCTTCACAGGAGTTGCTTACCCTGATGATGGCTATTAGTGCTAGGCTAGAAGCAGTACTAGTGGTCTGTGTTATGTTGCAACTCCAGGGCTCTTGTGCCTATCTACCTTTTGGTGGCACTTAATCAGCGGTTGTCTCAGATGATGAGGAAGGAGGGGCCCTTCTCCACAGGGACTTCTCTTTTCAGTGGTGGCTACAGGGTCCATGTTGGAAGCAGGTCTGGTACTTTAGGTGACACTGCTGTTCCCAAGGCTCTTAGATTCAGGGTCCGTGACTGTCTCCATGGGAGTTTTAGGGGAGATAGTAGTCCTGGTGGTGGTTTGACTTGCTTGCCACATGCTTCCTCCTCTCTCTAAGGGTGCCTTGCTGCTTCTTTCCTATTGTTTTCCCAATTCTGCTTGCTTTACTTTGTATCCATCCATATAAGCCTTTGCAATTTTTTTGGATAGCATTTATTATGGTGCAGTAGCATTGCATTGCATTCATCTACCATGCCTTGCTTAGCCATTCTCCAATCAGTGGGCATCTATTTTGTTTCTCATTCTTTGTTGCTTAAAACAAAATTGTGCTCTAGGTATTTTGGTGTATGTGGGGCATTGGATGGGGCAGTATTATATAGTTCAGAGGTTCTTAACCTTCTTGTACCCTCTATTCAGTATGAAATTAGAAAGAAAATAACATTCTAGAGTTTGTCATACATATATACTTAAGATTTAAAATAGATTAATTTTTTATGCATTGCTTTAAAAAAAAAAAGACTATTATAGCCTGTATGTGACAAGCTGTAATAGTAAAAGTGTCTTATGCTGACAGTCTTAACCACATTTGTATCATTTAATATGGGCAACTGCACCCCCTTTCTTTCTTTCTAGTATGATTCTTTCATGTTCAGCTTATCCTCACCCTGTCAGGTAGGGGAATTTTTTTGTCTCTCAGCAAATGAAATGTCCATATACAAAATAGTTTTTCAGGTTATCAAAAAATTGTTAAACATTTATGAAAACAAAGTCAAATAAATTACTGAGATTTTTGATTCTGTTTCTTGTCAACCAATAGTTTTATTCTAGATTTACTTTTTGCTTTGAATTTAAGGACTAAAAATCCTAATTCTTAGAGATAAGTTGTTATAAATGAAAGTAAAGTCTATGGGCACATTTAGTAAAAATGGAATGTGCTTCTCTAAGTGTATTCCCCAAATACTGTCATTTCATTGATTTGAAACCAGTTCAGAGTGTCTGGTTA